TATATATATATATTATAACCAATAAGCAAGGGGAATTTGAATTCATATGGTGATAGTTTAATTTTCATCTGTAAACTTTATTCTTTAACAGTATTTTCAACACTTTAGGTCCCATTCTCGATGTGCAAAATCTGTCTGAACAAGCTTGTGCTAACTTAATACTTAAGAGCCCTTAAACCAACAGACATATCTTGATCTTAACTCATATCAATTCTACATTGTTCACTCAATTGCAAAAAGGTTTACAGTAACTGTTAAATAAATGTGTTTAACTGCCTTCGGAAAACTATTCTTTTTTTAAAATATCTTGATCCTTTTTATACATGGTTTAGTTCATATCGCCCATTTGCTGTTTTGTTAATTGTTTTTTTTTTATCATTATTATTTACCATGATTGTATGTACACTTCTTTGTCAGTGGTGCGGCTAAGATAAGCAACCCGCTAGAGTTGCCCACCACTGTGTCTTGTTATGTACGTTTCTATGTTACTCAATAAAAAAACTTTATCTGTTCATTATGTAAGAAAGCCGGACCGGTCGACCATTGGCTCCTCAGGCTCACCCCACGATCCCCCTCCCTTCTGGTTTCCCCATCATGACGTCAATTCTAGCGCTGTTAACGTATTGGCTGCTGATTGGATGGTAAACGTGATGACTGACAGCTCCTTCTGGACGTTTCGCCACGCCCCCTCGGTACCTTCCTCGCTGTTGACTGCCAGGTAAGTGGCGTCACCGAGAGCAGGAAAGGTCGCTGACGAATACAGGCGGCTGGCCATGATGGTGTGCCTGTATACGTAACAAAACATGATAACTTTGTACGTTGTTGTTGTTGTGTCCAGAACCGTGCTTTCTAAGATTATCCATAACCACGCTCAGACACGGTTCTGGATAGTCCACGTGTATGCAGAACCGTGCCTGGAAAAAATCTACGTTCTTGGATCCGTGGATCCGGATATTACTAGTACCTAGAACCTTGCCTGATCGTAACATTAAACCATTCAGACATGGAACTACGAAGAGTAATTCTGACTGGTTCACATTGCACAACACAGGTGTCGCTGCTGTACGTAGATGCATTCCCAAACGTACACCTGTGCTGTGCAATGTGAACTAGTCAGAATTGCCCTGAGGAAGGTGACAGACGGTCACCGAAACGTCGGCTGAATAAAAGACTTGGTTGTGTAAAAATAGTCTCTTTACTCAGTGTCTTACACGGATGAAACTACTCAACTAGATAGGCACGGTTCTGGATACGACAGTCACCTAATACTCAAAACCCATACGAAACATTGTAAAGACCGCAATACTAGTACAACGTAGTTGAGTCAATACGGAAAGAAAAAACAAACTTGTAGAATTTCCTTCCCGGCAGGCCTTGCGGGTCGATGAAGGCCCTCTCCAACTGCATCAGCTGGTCGTTGTACATCCGGGCAACAAACGGGCTGGCAGAGATAAAACCATCATAAAACATCATAAAACAGGGTTTTGATCAGTTGAAAGCCTCTAATTTCCAATGATGTTTACCTTCACGTGGTTTAGCCTAACAAACTACTGCTCTGTTTATTCTTCTCAAACACATTCACCTCCAGCTCTGTCCTGCTACATAATGTAACCCAACACCCCAGACTGTATGCTATAGCAGTCTAGTTGCCATAGTGACAGGCGTCTGGTCGATGTCATTGACCTTATTCAATTGGAGAAGACGCGGAAGATTAAACATAACAAAATCAATATGTTTTCCTTCTGCGAAGGTAAACATAAAATGTACTAATAAATGAACACCTACTTCGTTATCTTTGCATCGGTCACCTCAGCATCAAAGGCTTCCGCAGCCGTTGTGAAGTTGTTCACCGCAGAGGTCAGCGTCTCTGCGTGGACAAAAGAAAAGATAAAATAAAAATTTAAAGTCAATCCTAAATTCCTCCACCAACTGGAAATCAGACCTTTTCGGCTGAAGAGATCACACATGCGTTCCTAAGATAAATAAAACTAGTAATAGCAAGGCAAATGCACAATTTTACCTTCAAATGGTGTTACCTAACTACTTCTTCGTTTATTCTTACTCAAACACATTCATACTTATACTCTCCAACACTTGCTACATAATGTAACCCATCACTACAGGGTGTCTGCTACAGCACCAGTTACAATGTTGATAGGTGTCTGGTCCTGTTCATTGACCTAAGGTGGAAAAGTGGAGGAAACGGAGCAAAAACAATATGTTTTCCTTCCTTTTCCTTCTGCAAAGGTAAACATATATTAAGTACATCCTCACCAAGAGAGATGCCTCTCACTGCCAGCTGGTCCCCGTATCTGGTCTCCAGGTCCGCCAGCATCCCGCCGAGGACGGTGCCGTACTCGGACAGGCGGAGGGGCAGGAGGAGGGCGTCGGCCAGGGAGCGGGCCGTCTCCGCCCAGAGCTGAGACATGGCCCGGTGGAACAGGAAATCCGGGTCGATGATTTTCTTCTGGAGGTGGAAAGTCGCGTACGCCGTGTGGTAGAGTGGGTAGAGTGGGTAATCCCAGATGCCCACACCAAGTATATTTTATGGATGACGTCCGCGCGCGCATTGATTTCGGCCTGTTCCTAGAAAAAAAAACAAGAAATTCCACTTCCTGTAACTATGACCAAAGAGTCACGACAGTGCCACAAATCGTCAGATTGACGTGAAACCTGTAACGCGAGAACAGGGCAGGGCGACAAGTGCTGTTCCACCTGATTTATTGCTGTTTTGATTACGAATAAAAAATTCCTTGCTTGTTACACTGTATCACCTCATTCAAATTGTGCCCTAACATTTGTCGTCTCTTAGTATATTTCTTATCTAGGCATCTTGTTTTTTAGGGCCCTTCTTGTTTTTTTTTCGCCCTCTCGCATTAGATTTAGGGTCTCCAAAGGACGTCATCCATAAAATTTACTTGGTGTGGCCTTACGTCAATGAAGGTTAGACATCCAGCTACTAATGATATACAAACACAATCACTAACCAAAAGTGGTTGATGCTACTAGAAACGTCTGACAGTTTTCAAATATCTATCCTGTTGGTGAGTAACTATATTCTTGCAGATATGTATAATTTGTTTATTATTATTCTAATTAAGATTATTACTGTTTTGTTTGCTTCTTTTATTCGTCTAGCTTAATATGTGTACTTAGATTTGTCAAAGGCTTTATTATGTTTGCATTTTGTATAATTAACTTTGAAATATTAACGTAATATATTAGTAATTATATGCTTTCTTGTATTCAAGAACTAAACTAAACTGTCACAAAACAAGATGGCGGACCGTGTCTTGGAAAAACGCCAGGTCGATGGACGGGACGCCAATTCTGTGCACGAACGGCGCGAAATCACTGCCGGATCTCGGAAGGTCCACTCTGTGCAAACAGGAAATCGGAGATTTCAGACTTCTAGAAAGTGTTTGAGCTGTAAATGCATTGGAAGTTCATTGTATGACAGTGTGGAAATACCTTCTTGAACTTAAAGGTAACATTTGCAAAACAAAAGCAAAACATGTTTACCTGCACATGGCCCAGCTTAACAAACTACTGCTCTGTTTATTCTTACTCAAGCACATTCAATATTGTGACAATACAACCCCTCTTGAACTCGGTTCTGCATGGCATTATGTAACCCGACACCAGTTAGGCCACACCGACTTAATTTTATGGATGACATCCGCGCGCGCATTGATTTTCGCCTGTCGCCCTCAAAAAAAAAAAAAGATCACCTCCACCGAGGCTCTGGCCTGGCTCTAGGCCTGGGAAGTCCATGCTAGTCAGCGACAAAACGGAGCCGAGCACCCAAGCTATCGAATTCGAAGCTCCACGACTCAAGAACTCAGTACATAAGTATAGTACCGATTCATAAATGCCACAAAAAGCCAGCATGTGCCGGCTTGTCGTATACGTCACTATGTACTGTCGGGAATTCACAATGGCAGCTTTGTATTCCTGTGGTTCAGTAGCATTTTTATTTTTGGCCGGAATTTTTTTTTTATTCGCCCGCGCGCACTAGTTTGGGGGTCTTCAGAGGATGTCATCCATAAAATTAAATCGGTGTGGCCTTACCATGGTAAGAGACGACTGGGTCAGGTCATTGACCTTTTTTGTTTGGAGAGGAAGAGTAAGAAACTGAGCAAAAACAATGTTTTCCTTCCGAATCGGCAAACATAATTACAGTGTTTGGACGGCCATATTCCGATACGCTTTAAATGTAGTATACTAAGTAAGTGGAACAAAGTTCCAAAATAACATAGTCAATAGATATTTACCAACTTTGTCCCAGCTAAATTACCTAGGTTTTGTATCCGGGTCATCATCAATTTCCGGTGTGCGCTTCCGCCAGACGTCATACATGGTCTTCCCTTCCGGTGCACTGACAGGCCAGGGAACCTGTATATTAATTAATCAACCGTGACTTGTATGTTCCTTCAGTACCAAGGATAGTCCCTGCTGTATCCAGAATCGTGCTTTATCCAGAACCATGCTCAGGCACGATTCTGGATAGTCCACGCGCATCCAGAACCGTGCCTGGAGCAAATATACATTTGTGGATACGCAGAGACTATCCAAAACCGTGCCTAATCCTAATCCTAACCCTAACCCACTAAGACACAGAACCAGACAGGCACGGTTCTGGATAGTCCACGCGTATCCAGAACCGTGCCTGCTATCCAAAACCGTGCCTGAGGCAAATCTACGTGTATTGTCTAGATCTATCGTGTATTGCCTAAATCTACTGCGTACGTATACGCAAATCGGATACGTACGCAGAGACTATCCAGAACCTATTCAGGCATAGAACTAGACAGGAACGGTTCTGGATACAACAGTTGCGTATGTGCCAATATGTGTATGTGTCAGTAAGTGTACCGAGTACAAGTTCACGCCACTCACCTTCTTAGCGGCTTCCAGTAAGGCCGGGGCTAACTGGGGTGACGCCCTTCCACGGAGGGAGTAGGTGGCTACGCAGAGAAAAAGTAATACGTTTTCCTTTAGTTGCTACCTTTTTTTTTAATTTCAATTCATCTTAGGTCATGTTGATCTGATTATATGGATGACATCCACTGGGAACCCCACAACTGACGCAAGCGTGCAAATAAAAAAGAGTTTCGCAAAAAGTTTCCTTTATTATGAAATGTACGTGGTCATTTATGTTGAACAAATGGCGAATAATAATAAACTCTTCATTTTCATTTCTTCACATTTTCTTCTTTTGCTGCATTGATTTTGGCATTCTATGATATTAGTATCCTTTTCCAATACTTGTTTTGCAACATTCAACGTATATTCGCTCATTTTGTACGATTTACAGTATGGTCAAAAACTTTTTTTTTGAAACGGACGAATGCGCGCGAGGATGTCATCCATATGATTAAATCAATATGGCCTTACACGAGAAATATATCAACCCTGATGTGATCATGATAGCGTTAATAAATTTATTGTAATAATCCATTTCATTGTGTAATTTATCAAAGAAAACTATATCTACCTCCCAGAAGTTAGAAATCTCTTATTTCTTGTTGATGATGTTGTTTACTTCAGACAATAAGTCTCAGTAATCAAGATCTGTAAATAGTTTGCCTCTGTTTTTAAATGGACCGACCTATGACAATCTGAAACCTGTTTAATCTTATTCGTCAATGCCAAGCTTTTTCATGTGTATTTCTTTCATGTTTTTGATATGTAGCACAGCACTTGTACAAATCAGCCAACACTGGCTGCCAATCAATGTGAATAAACAGTTCATTTGTTTGCTTGCTTGTTTGTTTGTTTGTTTGTTTGTTGTTACTTACCTCGCACTGCCATGTCCACGTTCAAGTACGCTACAGCTCGCTCCGTTAGAATCTTACCAAGGTCCTTGATAAGAAAATATAATAATGACATGAGCAAGTATCACATAATGGCTACTCTAAGAGGTAATTCAACAAGCACGTCGGCAGAACGTACTGCGCCTGCGCAAAACCCTGATTTTTCACGATTTCCGTTGGATGTTTGGTCAACGTTGCATCAGAATATTTCCTGTTGCAGAATACACGTATATTTTTCCAACATAACATTTGGAAACTACAGAATACGACGGTTATATGAGACGTTCTGCCGAAGTGCTATATGCACAATATTAATACTAGTACGTAATGGGTTTCGCGCAGGTGCAGTGCGTTCTGCTGATGTGCTGATTCAACATATTGTTTCTGCTCTATTTCTTCTTCTTCTCCGACCAAATTTAGGTTGTTAATAACCTTATTAATGACCTATTAATGACCATCTGTCACCATTGTGGCCCGTGCTGTTGGGTTTCATTATGTAGCAAGTGCATGGAAGGACAGAGTTGGAGATGCTGGTCACCATGTATATGAATGTGTTTTAGCAAAAATAAACAAAGCAGTATTTTGTTGGGCTGGACCGTCCTCCATGGGAAGGTAAACATTTTTGATTTGCTTTGCAAATGTTAACCTATCTAGTCTAAATTATGTTACAAAGAAAAATTTAAAGGATATCAAAAGATATTTAAGTCTTGTGTCTTTGAAATTTATTCATGGAGAGAAAATTAAAAAAAAAGTGACTTACTTCGACCCATTCGAACGAGCCGTGCATTCCATATTCTTCAGCATCCCAGCTACAAAATACAAGTGATCGTCTGGGGCGCCACCCTGCGGATTAGGTAGGCATTGCAATACTTTGGTAGATTGTACTGCTAAGAAAAGTCAAGTATTTTGTCGAAGACTAATTATGGTTAGGATGTAAAATTTGGAATAAAAATTGCATCGGTCGGAAATTAAACCCTCTACTCCAAGTTTTCACAAGAAATATGTATTTCACATTAAAATTCTTTACTAAATATGGGAAGTGACTTACTGACAATAAATATAGGAAAATAAAATATGCATCGGCCGGGAATCGAACCCGGGCCTCCCGCGTGGCAGGCGAGAATTCTACCACTGAACCACCGATGCCGTCGATAAAAATCAACAGCTGCTGGAAATTTTCGCATAAAACTACATGTACCCTTCCTAAGTTTGTTTTGTAATTGCTCTAAGCTAGCATTAAAAATGAATTCAGTGGCAAAAAGGCTAGAATCCTGCGCAGGCTTTTTGGATGACTTGCGGTTTTCTATGGCTTTTTTGGCTAATCCAAAGAGGTAAAGAAGATTTGAAACCGATCCGATCAGGCTAGGCCAAATTTGATATTGCAACACGCGAGCGATCAGAAAACAGCATAGATCGAAAAAAAGCAAAGAAAATCGCCAGGCACCCATAAGGTCTGCACAGGTAGCTCCGAGCATCCTTTATATGCACGTCAGCAGGGCTCTTCCCAAGCAATGACGCGAGGGTGGTCCCCTTTACCCAAAATCCTATCACCCTCCAAAAATCTAGAGTTTTCTCTATACTCGTAAGTATTTTCATGAAAATTGATAGATTTTTTTTTGCGGCATCAACTCATTAGGAAGCACCTACCCCCTAAAAATTACCGGCGGGACCCCTGTGCCAGTTATAAAGCGACAGGCATGTGAAATTAGAGATCGTGTCTCGTCTTTAACCAACCATCATGGCGGACACTACATCAGGTGACTGCTAACAACAGCTTACCTCTTTTCACCATCGCTCCGAACGCGCGGCTGACCTCCAGTAGGGAGCTGGTCCCGCTGCTGGGGTCAACTCCGCCCAGGTTCCACGCGTCACGGTGGTTGCCTAGCAACACGTAGCGGTCTGGGAACGAGAATAACAACTGATCATGACAAGTGGGCCAAAACTAGAAATATTCTTTTAATCGATATCACTTTATTAATGAGTTTTCCAATAGGCCCCTTGAAGCTGCATTTTTAAATGGGCCTTTTGGAAAGCTCGCGCAAAAGTTTTCGAAATCTATATTGTACTAGGAACTTGATATGATAGAGTTACTAGTAATTCATAACGGTGCACTTCCACAGAAGGCCGCTAGGCGTGCGATAATTTAAGGCAGCTGTTACGGGCTGTCCAGCCTTCCCGTGCCATATATGGAAAGTTTTACCATATATGGAAATGGTGGGCGTGGTTGTACTGACCTGGCTCCAGGCGACCCCGAATGACCCCGATGACGTTGTGAATGGGCCTGACCTCGCGGTTCACGTTCACCTGCAGCCGGACTTTTCTATATTAAAGATAGACATGTAATCATATATCATATGGTAACACCTTTGCAGCAACTACATGTACCTGTGAACTTATCGTCAACGAATGGTTTCATTCAAGGGTTCATTCACATACGTGCAGATGCAGCGATAGCTAAATATCTAACAGTGACATTCATAAAAAAAAATTATAAAGAAAGTTTAAACTGCACTTTTTGGCACGAAGTATTTAAGAGGCCACCACTATTTATCAGCGCCTTGCAACCATCCCTCAACAAAGACGGGGGACACCACAGACTTTCTGCAACTTGATTGGCTGCCTCCTAGTCACTAGTGTCATCTGCGTAAAGTGACGTCATAGAAGCAGTGGATTGTTCACTCTTTTACAAAGACTAGAGTCCAATTTCTTGTGTTGGAAATTACAGTTTTAACACTTGGTAGAACTCATTATGAAGCAATTAAAGCTTTAAAAAGCTTTAAAAGCAGTGCGATAAAAAGCTTTAATTGTTTCAAAATGAGTTCTACCGACACAGATTAACTTTCTAGAAGATATATCAATAATGCTGCTTCTCTAGGAGGGGCACAGACCTCGCTCTTCCAGATGCCTGCAGTCCCGGTCCAAGTCGGTAGGTGATGTTAAGACCACCTCGCCAGGAAGACGGAGCGTCGGGCCCTTCCATTGCACTGTGTGGTATAAAAATGGTGGAAACAGCCATTCCCCAGTTTGCATCAGCAAGGCAAAAAAAAAAAAAAAAAAGATCTGCATCGGCCGGGAATCGAACCCGGGCCTCCCGCGTGGCAGGCGAGAATTCTACCACTGAACCACCGATGCGGTTGCTGACTGTCAATGGTCACAGGAAAAGTCGAAAAGGCCATCAGCTGTGTTTACAGTCATTTCTCATGATTGACTTTTATTACAAAATATGTAGTGAAGAGTCTGAATATCATCACAATGTATCGCATTTGAATTGAGACCAATATTATGCCGCGAGTCATTGTGGGTAAGGCCAGGTGGCTTACAATGTTACTGTAAATTTCTGATTTCTTCACTGTACTGTTATGTTGACAGTTTTCACTGTCACTTCTGTTCTGTGAACTTATCATTACAGTTAACAAATAATTCCTGGACTTTCTTTTTCCTCCACCTGCCACCACCGTGAATATGTAGTTTCGTGAACATGTCCACTTTTCTCAGACCGTGAACTTTTGCCGACGTGAAGATTAAGTGAATTACAGTATTATAAGCCACCTGGGCTTACCCACAATGCCTCGCGGCGCATAAACTGTGAGCTGGTTTATAAGAAAATTTACAATTAAGACTGTACACCGCAGTGTGATGCATCATGTTTAATTTTGTCACAGTTTAAGGCCCTGAGAGGTAAATAACGTATATGAAGCATCATCAGGTCAGGTCTCACGTGTTTTGATTACGTTTCGAGGCCTCCACCTTTGACATTAGGCATGCGCAGTCGTACTTCCTCACTGATGACGTCAGCCTACCTGAGAAGATGCCAGGCGTCGTTATACCCTATGGGGTGAGCCGGGATGCTGGGCAGAGGATCACTCTCACTTTCGTTTAACCGGAACATGTAATCTAGAGTGAGAAAGGTAGACATTTTCTTATGTTAGGCCATACTAATTTGACTATATTGATGACATCTTCTGGGCACATCAAAACTGGTGCGAGCGTGCGAAGAAAAAAAGTTGGGTCTTCATTGTAAAACCTAAGTGGTCACGAAGGTTGCACAAATGACTTAACTCAAAGAACATGGAATACCAAACAATAATTCTACAATGTATCCAATCGACCCAAAAGCCCGTCGAAATGCAAATATTTTATTGACTGACATGCAGTCTCTCCTCATTGGTTAAACTGCTAATTGTCATGGACTGTAAGGTTTGGTCTAGTACGTACCTTGTTGAAACCAGAACCGTGTCTATCTACATTGTTTTTCCCCATGTTTCTTTTCCTTCTCCTTCTTCTGCCATTTCTTTAATTTAAATTGATTTGATTAACTCCTTCATTTGTTCAATAGGCCAAATAATATGAAATTTGGCATGAAGGTAGAGTGGGCGAATACCCCCAGGCGTTTTTCCCCATTTTTTTGTTATACAGGCTTTTAGAATGGTTTTATTTGAGCTCTTTGGCTGTGTTATAGAAAATGTACTATAGCAGTGTGTTACCATATTTGGGTATGAGTCATCAGAATGGCATGCAGAGCAAGCAACCAATAGGCATGCAGCTTTCCTCTATACTTCTTGCTGGTAGATGCTGGATACGCGTTGACTATCTAAAACCATGCCTGAGGATTTCTATCGATAATGTACGGTTCTGGATTGAACAATACCTTTTGCAGGGTAGCCTGGTGTAAGCGGTTCTCCCTCCACCTGTCCGTAGAGGTAATGTCCCCTCTGGACTGCCGTGCCCGGGCCGAACCAACCCCGTGGGTACAGCGGTCTGCCGCTGGCAGCGGGGCCCGTCCCCACCGTGTCCGCCGGGTCCGAGTACACGATCAGGCCGAGCGCACCGCGGAGTTGGCAACGCCGCAGCTACATGGGACAAAGAGCATGACAGTACAAGTGCTTTATCCAGAACTACTCGGCAAAAGCAAGCAGAGGTTTGGGTTCTGGCTTTTTATGGCGTGTTTTTTGGAATTTTTTATTGCACTGGATTCTTTTTTGCACTGGATTTTTTTAACACCAAACCAAATATTAGGGTAAAAAAAATCCAAGTGCAAACAAGGGCGGTGTTTAAAAAACACACCGGCGACGTATTTTAATAATATAATAGTATAAATTTGTAACCCTTTTGATATAACTTGAGTAAAAGGAATTTTTCTTATAACGGATTGTTGTTTTAGTACTACACAATAACTAGTATTTTAAAATGTGTGTGTTTTTAACACCGTATTGTATGTAGGAAGTTGTGCATGCATCAACGAATGAAATGTGTACCCTGAGCTGTAACTCACATTCGTATGGATTTATGTTTGATTATTTAGGAAGTACGTGAGTAAGGTATAGTTATTAGGAAAGAATGGTATCTGACGCAAGTATTACCAAATAAGGATGAAATTTTAATAGGTATTGCCATATATAATAGACACGCTACGTGTACACCCAGTGGGTCTCCACCAGAAAGCAGACCGGGCGCTCGTCCAAGGTTCCCCAGATATCTGGTGTCTCCATATTCCACCTAACATGTCTGACTTTCCTCAGCGCCTTCACAAATTCACGGAGGCGCTGAAGGGACTTGTGCAGAGCTACCCCAAGGTCACAGTATGGGACCACAGACGTCTGTGGAGACGCAACCCAAACTACTTTGCGCCTCATGCCTGTAGCCTCATGCTCCCCCCGGACCCCCCTAGGAACCTCGAGGTCCACTCAAGCAGTGGGAAGAACCCCCCATTCCAAATCCTGACTACGGGCATGCGCCTGACGGCTTACACTTGTCCGATCTGGGAAACCTCCAGTATTACAAGAGTGTCCGCGGGGCTTTAGACCGCCAGCTAAAGCACATTTAAAACGTGTTCGCTTGTCCCTTGTGAACCCCTTTCCTTTCTCATTCCGGCACAATTTGTGCCCGATTGGCTGGTTTCCCCTTTTCCTTCGCACACGCACGTGGTCTTGGTTTCTTTCACGCAGTTAGGCGTGTTTTGGCCGGATTGTTGACATGAGACACATGTTAATATATTTGAGACAATCTCTATCCTACATCATGCCTCGCACGTGTTGATACTATGGTTTGTGATGCAACAGAATAAAAGGTTGCATATCTCGCCAAACAAGAAATGGCTCTTCTGTTTATTGTGTTAGATTGCACTATATAACTAACGGTGACCTGGCCCGATAAAAGGCGTAACGTAAACAACCGGAGCTCAGTCTGACGTAAACCTTCGTGGTGTTCACATCGCGGAGAGCTCCGCTGCGTAATACTTCAATATCTAAGGCCCATTGCGCCCCTCACATTCAGAGCAACAAGTATGGCATTGTATAATAGTGTATACAATAGTGTATATAATTTACGGGCAGTATCCTTGCACCGACAAGCGATACCCCGACCCGTACGGTGATTGTCGGGTCTGGACACCGTGTAGTAACCGGCATCGCCGTCTCAGTGCCCGTGTGTCCTCTGGCAAAACTTGCTGAGAGGTTTCCCGGATAACATTTCAATGCACATTGCAGTATTTACGCTATGGGGCACTGAATAAACGAATTATTGGTGTTTTCCCTGGATACATGACGAAAAATATAGGTATACAAACTATGATACGATCGTGGCCGAGAGCGGAGACCGTTACTCTGCACGGCCTACTTCGGTACAACACAGTCAATGCTCCGCTCGGAACGCCACAGACACAAATAATTTCTAAACTGTCGGTAACATAAATATCGTCATATACACATCCCTAGTAGATACTCTGGTTAGTCTGGGTAAAGGATAACAATTACTATGAGTAGGTCGCGCCCGTTGAGATAACGTTGGAATATAATATGGCTCCATTGTTTCATCTTCAGATGATTTTTTTACACAGAATTACTAGAAAATCTGTTCCCTGTATCTGCTTGGAGATTGTGTCGGTCGGATCTTACTGTTTACGAGGTCTCCAAGCAGATGTTCGGGGGGAGGGTATAGTTGGGGTTGTGTCTTTCTCTGTATCTGTTCCATTGTTTGATATTCGAGTGAATGCTTACAGACTTACTGAAAATTAGTAAAACAAACATTCGGTCCCTGTATCTGCTTTGGAGATTGTGTCGGTCGGATCTTACTGTTTACGAAGTCTCCAAGCAGATGTTCGGGGGGAGGTTATAGTTGGGGTTGTACCTTTTTCTGTATCTGCTCCATTGTTTGATCTTCAGATGATTTTTTACACAGAATTACTAGAAACATTCGGTCCCTGTATCTGCTTGGAAATTGTGTCGGTCGGATCTTACTGTTTAAGAGGTCTCCAAGCAGATGTTCGTGGGTATAGTTGGGGTTGTACCTTTCTCTGTATCTGTTCCATTGTTTGATATTCGAGTGAATGCTTACAGACTTACTGAAAATTAGTAAAACAAACATTAGGTCCCTGTATCTACTTGGACATTGTATTGGTCGGATTTTACTGTGTGCGAAGTCTCCAAGCAGATGTTCAGGGCATAGTTGTAGAGAAAAAAATGAACACGCTACACAACATTATGATACAGTAAATGAAATAAAATATGGTTATACCTCTCTCACAAGCAAACTAAGATGACTTTGCATAAAATATTATTTCATAAGATAATCGTGCAGAAGACTAGCTATTCTCTCTTTTTTTGAATATTTACACCTTTTTCCAAAACTGTAGGACATGTAGGATGGCACATGCTTTTCTGTCATTCCGTGAGTTTGGAAGATAAAGGCCTTTTGCCCTGCAAAATAAGGTTTTTGTTGTAAACCGGAAGGGAGACTATTTCCCAGTAAGTCCGTCGCGACAGTTGCCATAGCAACAAACCTATCTGTCTGACTGACCACCACCACCACCTCTGGGTGGTCCGTGCACGAGGCACCATACATTCATTCAGTCGGTCGCCAGCTACCCGCGAGGACGTACTAAACTTTCGTTGTACCAACTGACAAACTATTTGACTTATTTGACTCATTTGCCGTATCAACAATACTTACAACTGGACCCCTGAACGTATTCAACTAGTAACGCTTCTACTGTTAGACGAGACGAGCCCGCAGACGAGGCCGTACCCGCGTGGCCGTACGTACCCCGGACCACTTGCCCCGGCCTTGTGAGAACAACTGCCCTCCTCTCCACCAGCGATAACAGACCCCCAAAACGGTGAGTTCATACGTGCTTTTATTTAGGGTACACTTTTTAAACAGGAGCGTTGACAGGTATCATATACAATTATAGTAGGAGTGTATTTTATGTATAGAAACTTTCCGTGTTTGCAGTCCTGATGACGACTTCACATTTCGGATCGTTCATCTTATAGCAGACTTTATAGAAGACTTACATTCTCCCCCTGTAACCACCCGGCCTGTTCAGTGGTTGTTTTGTGTGGCTTGGTCAATGTTTTGCGCTGGACATATCAGCCTTGTCTACAGCTGAATTCTACGTTTTTTGACTTGAATATGAGATGTACACCTTGTTTTGAAGCAAATGTAGCGCTGGACTACTTTAGTGTTTCCCACAATAATCTGCCTTTGATGTCCATTGCAATGTGTGTGGGGGCATTCTAGACAGATAAGCCAAACTTGTCTTATTGCCCATGCCCTCGATAAACTGAAACCGTCCTGCTTGTGGAAAAGGACGCGAGGAGAGAGCACATGCATGACCTGATTGGTCAATTCCGGAAAAGTTTGAGCGTGGCCCGTGCGATACAAATAGGGAAACCCCGTTCGGTACAAACGGGGAATTCCCCGTGCACTGGTCAACGTAAACCTAGCGGGCGAGGATCGGCTTTCGTGTCCGGCATAAATTTCCATATGGCCCACATAGCGACATAGAACTATTTTCACGGCCAATGCAAGGCATTTGGCGTGTGAGATTCTGAAACACGTGGTATCTGGATGTCTGGGAGAAGCAGGGCTGCCATTGGTCGAATTAGGTGTCAAGCTTGTTGCTGGGCAAGGGCCAAAAATAGTTTATACTAAACAAACTTCAGATTTTAGTAGCCGAGTCCTATGGCTCAATGAGAAGCAAAATCTTCAAATAGGAAACGAAGCTACCTTCTTGCCAAAATAAGGAAGCCACTTCTTAACATATTTACAGGTAAAGAAGTAAGGTTATAAGCGTTTGTTTCCTCCTTTTCGGTTCCCGCGATAATGACACGAGGCTAATCACCGCTGTTTCCCTACAGTTGCCCAGGCCGGCGGGCGTGGAGATACGTAGCCCCTTTGCCTTCTCCCAACCAGGGATACAGACATAAAAAGGTGAGTTCATACGTACTTTTATCCATAACTCTACAGGGTGTGGATGTTTGGTAACGTCGGCTAGTTTCGGCTAAATTAATTCATGAAGCGCGGAAGGACTGCTACTTATGCAGCTCACAGCTGTCATGTCAAGTGTACTTTTGACGCACATTCTATATCAGCCTTGTCTTCAACTGTTTTCTACGTTTCGATGACTTGTTTAGGAAATGTGCACCTTGTTTTAAAGAAATATATTTCAAACCGCTACCATTTGCTGTGACGTTCGCACCGCGATATGTTTTGGCCGAGAGCTTTATGAGGCGCGGTGAGAGGCATATTACTGTTGACTAACTTGCTGTGGATAGAGGGTAGCCATTTAAACGGGAGTTTTGTCAGGTATCATATACAATAATGGTAGGAGTGTATTTCATGTATAGATACCTTCAATGTGTGAAGTCCTGTCTATTGTTTTGTCCTGACACTAGCAACAAGCCTCACACCTTATCAGACCAATGACACTGCCTTTCTTCTCTTCATACAGCTGCAATACCATGTGCCTTAGCCAGTGCGCAAGCTCTAGCCGGCAGTTGCCGTGCTATAGCCGGGACAATCACATATGCCAGAAGCCGTGGTCACAGCTGACTCAAGCCTCCCGGTCACAGAGCTGATCATGACAACTGACTCCAGTCTCCTTTGTGTAAAATTTTGTTTCGATATTGTTGATGATGATAAAAGGAGCATGTTGATATCATATGTGTATTAAGTAGTAGCATCGTCGACAGAAAGAAGGCAACATGGGAGGGAACCAGATCAGTAGCAGAGCCATCACGTGCAGGCTATGTAATGCATTGCTAGCCACAGTAAACCTTACACCAGTTAGAGATTACTGGGATGACTTACATACGTCTGTACTACGATGATACATTGCCTGTGTTTTACGATATCTTAGTGTATATATTGTAATGACCTATTTTATATGTAATTAGAAAACCTCGCCAATGACGGTGCAAATCGAATCGAGGAGAATGTACACATTTTGAAAACCATGAAGATGCTGAACAATCGGTGTATATGGGAGCTGTGGTACGATTGCACTCTCTAACTAACTTGTAAGAACATGATAGTGCAAGACCTGATGAAAGTCCGAACAGTTCCCTTGTAATTACTTATACAGTTCTCTGTTATTGTAGTCCCTGTTATTGGTCCGGTTACAAATATGTGTGCTGAAGTGATGTACCACTGTTATGCGGTAATACATAATATAAAGACACAGGATTTCTACGACAAAGGGACGTCAGTTCAAGAAGGAAAATATAATTCAGTTAAGACTGAAAGGGTTAACGTAGCCAGACGTCATAGCCAGTTCGTCTTAAAAGTCTCCCGTGCCCAGTGTGCGGAAAGCCTTGTCTCTGCGTCTTTCCTTTATCCTCACAAAGTTGCATTGAAAAGAACTTGAATTCATCTGTTGATTTGATTATATGGATGACATCCTCCGGGAACCCCAAAACTGATGAGAGCGTGCGAATAAAAAAAAGTTTTGCAAAAAAGAAAAGTTGCTTTCACTATGAAATCTACGTGGTCATCAAGGTTGAACAAATGGCACAGAATATGTTATGGCAAATAATCTACTCTTCGAATTAATTTCTTTACATTTTTGTCTTTTTTCCTTTGATTTTGACATTCTATAGCTACGACATTGGTATCGTTTCTAAATGTTTTCCTTGCAACTTATGGTAAATTTTTGCTCATTTTGCAACTGTTTTGCACGATTTACAGTATGGTTGAAAACTTTTTTTTTTGGAAACGCCCGAAAATTCATGCGCGCGCGGATGTCATCCATATAATCAAATCAACATGGCCTTATGTCCAAACACATACTTTTCATAAAGAGAAGGAAAACTACTAGAAAAAAAAACAACTAAACGCGGTAACATATTGGTTTATATTCAGACAATCACGACATCTCATTTGAAACATCTGACTTCAAATGCTGACCTTGTTCAATTCCAAACAATGATTCTGTCCAAGCTGTCGGAAAAGCTCCAAAGTCATTGAAAAACAGCTAAGCAGCTGGGAGGGAAGACCTCACCCGCAAGGTGTTGCCAAAAATGAATTCCCTAGGGAATGCGTGCGTGGAATATTTAGAATTCCTGGCAATTCAATCGCAGTACTATACTAAGGGCTCCGCCCCTGAGGCGTCGCCAAAAAGAAACCCAGAGAGTAATCCAGGATCGTGCTTTATCCAGAATCATCCACAGACAGGGTTCTGGATGGTCCACGCGTATCCAGAACCGTGCCTGGGCAAATCTACGTTTCTTGAGTCTACTAATATCCAGAACCGTGCCTGATTCTAACCCTTTCAGGCATGGAACTAGATAGGCGAGGTTCTGTATACGATAACAAGTGATACCATACGTGTAAAAGTGATTTGAGTGTATACAGCAGCTTTTTGAAAAAAATTGCATCGGCCGGGAATCGAACCCGGGCCTCCCGCTTGGCAGGCGGGAATTTTACCACCGAACCACCGATGCTAGGTATCATTGATTTCAGCAGTGTGAAAGTTTAGCTTTAGAAGACTGTATCTCAGTAATACATGTAGATTGTTTCTGTACCTTTCTGCCTCTTGACGTCTTCCCGTAGCGAGCTATGGCGATTTTTCCCGCCACCGTGACGCCCATGGATTCCAGCTGGGTGAAGTCCGACGTCCGGCCGTAGTTCACGTAAACCAAGTCACCCTTGTAGAAACAAGAAAACAAGAAAAAAGAAAAAGACGAAACTTAAAGACAGTCACAGAAACATGCCACTTTAAGGAAGCAGTGACTCACACTCGGGTTGGAAAAACAATCTTGCGGGGTGTTTGCTCTCACGTGACAATGACACAGCTGTATCCGCCATGTTGGATGATTAAATCTGGAAGTCGCCTGTATTTGTTCACGTTTGCACATTTAACACGAACAGAGGTTATAGCGCTGACGCTTCCAGTTTTAGTTTCAACCAATCAGCATGATGGCTGTGACGTCATATGCAAACACCCAAACGCAAATAGCATAGTGTCTTAGCATAGTCTTTCGTTACACAGAACCCCTGTACGAAATCCAGGTTTTATATATAGAACGTTATATATATATTGTACAAATCATATAAAATAGCCTTAATTATAAGTTATGTAGAACTATTTTGCGTTGTTGTAGGCCATTGAGATATTAGTTCGATATAAAGTATATTTTGAAGAACTTGTCATGTACCTGTAACGATTTCCGTGCAATAAAGTTTGACTTGACTTGACTTGACTTGGATGTTAAGAATTTTGTTGTCTTTTGCCGTTATCCTATGTACAAAAAGCGGTGCAATGACAAAGTGGGTAGAGTGCTCGCCTTGTATTCGGTAGGTCGTGAATTCGATCCCCCGCTGAGTCATTCCAAAGGGTTTAAAAATGGTACATACTGCTTTCTCTGCTTAGCACTCAGCATTTGGGAAAGAGTATGGGAGTTAAACACACACCACTACCAGTGGACAAGCCCCCTGCTGTAGTGATTGTTGTGTGGTCCATGGCTATTGAAAACGGAGATCGGTGCCGCCCTATGCTTCACTAGACGCGGGAAAGCTCTTTAACTTTTTTAAACTATGTACACCCCCGTTACCTCGACGGTTCCCGAGGGAGAGTAGGCGGCGAAGGGCGGTACCACGCTGGAGATGTTCGCCGGCGGGTCCAGATCTAAGCTCGGCTCGTGAGGGGCTGATCTGAACAGCTCATTATCGTTCCTAGATATGAAAAAATTGCAAGCTTTAATTAGCAACTAACCTAAACCATATCATGTGGTTCTAGTATACCTATGTCGGTGGCTATATATATAGCTAATACAACAGAAAAGAACTGTGTTTTTTAATTGTCAATGAAAGTAACAATTGCAAATTATAGAACCGTCTGCTATGCAATTGTTTGTTACTACCAGCATCTTTAAGTACATGACAAGACGATTTTCTGCCATCTCTGAAGAAATTACATGTATCTTAAGGTTTGTAACCTAACTTTTGTCAGGCACATTGCCACAGGCGCTATGCATTCTGGGATTGTTTAGAGGCTATTTTCAGAGTTTTCAAGAGTACTTCTTTGCGAAAGCGACAGGGGGTATTTTAAAATTATACTGCGAAAAGGTGTACATTTTTTTTACTTCCTGAGATTATGAACTACTGTAAAATAACACCCTCTTTCCAACTTGAGTGCTCTTTTACCATGATGTAGTTTAAGACCTTACGAAAGTCGCTGTACTTTTGTTGTGTCAATAAAGTTTAATTTACAATGTTCTCTGGAACTCCCTTCCGCCACATGTAAGAAACTCAAAATCTATCAGTACATTTAAGACCAGACTTTCTTCCCTCACCAGTTAATTTAATTTTGGTTGAGTGATTTACAAACATTATGATTTTCCTTACCAGTTAATATGATTTTGTTTGATTTATGCTTGTGAGATAAGTTCCATTGATATGCAAATTCCTTTCGCTTTAACTTATTTATGTTGGTTGGATTCTTTATGTTACCATATGATTAATTGCACACTTGTATATAGTGATTATTTTCTTCTTATTTATTATTGTATTTTATCCTCAGTTACTTTGCATTTTACTATGTTGGGGTTTACCCCCCAGGTATCATTGAAATACGCCGACAAGGCGATATTTATCACCTGGATAAATAAATGAAATGAAATGAAATGATGAAATGTATATTTTGCTTGGGTAAAACCAAGCTGAAACGAAAAAGAAGCAAACATTTGGATACACTAAGTGCACTACGAATTGGAGACTTGATGGTAAAACAAAAGAGGCAGACCAAAAAATCACTTTGTGAAGGACGGTGACAGATGGCCTGCAGCTGGCGTCCATGGGATGTCAATGGCGATCAGTAAAGAAGGTGGCCAAGGTAAAGTACAGTAAGTAAGGCCATATTGATTTGATGATATGGATGACATCCTCTGCTGGGTACCCCAAAACTGATGCGAGCGTGCGAATAAAAAAAAATTGGCACAAAAAAAGTTGCCTTCATTATGAAATTTAGGTGGCCATGAAGGTTGAACAAATGACTAAACACACAGGGTAATATTTTTATTGGCATGGTGAATAATAGACTATTCATTTTCATTCCTTCACGTTTTCTTCTTTTCCTTTGGAATGGGGGTTTTTGGCATTCTGAGACATTAGTATCGTTTTCCAATATATTCTTGTCAATTTACGACATATACTTGCTTATTTTGCAGCTACTTTGTACGATTTACAGTAGGGTCGAAAACTTTTTTTTAGAAACGGACGAAAATTCATGCACGTGCGAATGTCATCCATATAATCAAATCAATATGGCCTAACATACTGTACCTTATCTTGGCCACCTTCTTCACTAAGTACAGTACGTACCCATCTAGCAGGGCAACGTAACTTTGCTTGTCCGGGTCTGGGTACGAGAGCAGGACACGGTACGGTGCGATGTGCGCAGAATCCAGACCCTGCTCCAACCACGTCCGCCTCACGTACTCGGCAAGGGTGTAACTCCCCTCAGTCCCCGCTAGGTGGGGCTTCTCTGTCAGCTTCCTAGGAAGAGAGAATAATCCATTCGTCAATTTCAAATTTTCAATTTTGTAAAATGAAACCAGCAGAAGTACAAAATACGTCTGAATTGTTCTGATTTTTACGCAGAATATTACAGCAAGGGTTTCCTGGAATTTCACTACGTAGGAATGTGGGCATAGATGTGTGTCAGCAAAATCCCAGAGATGTGAGACATTCCTGTGGACATTCCATTCCTGTGGATAAAATGCCTGTACAATTCCTAAAATTCTTGCAAACTGCACACTATACTGTACCATTAGGCTCCCCCTGAGGCGTCGCCAAAAATACGGTGGACACAACTACTGGTACTCTATACTCACTTTCTCCCTAGCTTAGTCTGCCGTACTCTATACAAATATACATAAATACAAAAGGCTGACGTTAACGGACTGCCCTCATGTTGAAAACCTATGCCTATTGCACACGACAAACGTAGTCCCAACCATACAACACGGGTTCAAAAAACAGTAAGATGTAGTCAAATATAGAGAATAATTGACCAATGGAGAATAATTGGCAACAGGGAGTTCATTCGGAGGTGGGAAATCATTGCAATCTACTCTCTGTACCCCCGTAAGTAGGCTTGGTGGAGATTTCGAAGAATGCTTCAGGGCCGTTAAAAAAATAAATGAGAAGGGGGGGGTGAAGAGGTTGGATTTTACATAGGGGGGTTAGTGGGTGTGGATTTTGTTGGATTTGGATTGAGGGGGGGTGGTACAAGAATAAAACCCTGGATTTAAATGAAATTATGGGGGGTCACTTGGATAAATTTTTTAAGGCGACTGGATATGGATGAAATGAAAAGGGGGTCAAGGCCCTCGGATAATAATAAAGGGGAGTCAGAAAATTAAAAAAATCCAAGCTCTTCAACCTCTCCCTTTTTTTTTTTTTTTTGAACAGCCCACTGTATACCTGTACCTCCTGGATCTAAATCTGCCTTGCGAATAAAAAAAAAGTTCCTACCTCAAATACTCTTCAATCCGAGCCTGGTCGATCTCGGTCATCAGTGCCTCCGACACCCAGCCGTCTCCCTCGGCCAGGAGCGTCCCCAGGTCCCCCTGGCTCTCACCGGCGCCGGCGGTATCAACACGGCCGCTACTCCCAGAGAAGTACCCGATAAGCACGCCGACAACCAGGCCGACACACACACACGCCACGGAGAGAAAGACAACCTTTGTACGAGGATCCATGGTGTGGCACTGATTTGGGTCAGTTGATGGAACAGGACATGTACATGCGTCCCTGAATTGAAGAAAATTGTCAGAGGCTTGCTTCCTTCCAACTCAGTACACGTACATTCCGTTTACTTTGAAAACTGGGGTACAAAGTCTAAACGAATCTTGGCACGTAAAAGAAAAAGGTTAAGAAAGTCTATAGATTTTTCTAGACGTAGAGCAGGCTTATCAGTGCATGACCTGGCACCAGGCCCATTTTTCATGAGGGTCTGCATGGGGTCTTTCATGACTGCTTTTCAGTATAGAGAGAGCAAAGGTTACTGGGTCACGGCAGTCAATTATTATATTCAAGGCGGCAGAACGCAGTTTTCGCCCTATGGGGATTTCTATAGTACTAGTGAAGAACCCCATGGTGACTCATTTCGACGCATTAAAAACAAGAGTTCCACTACCTCATACCTTCACCAAATGATGTTAACCATTCCGATTGACGAAATTTTACATTTTACTCATTGATTATGAAAATAAGATCCTCATTTCATTTTCATCGTGGATTAGACGGAAAACATAACCTTCTTGGCAAAGGTAACTATATTGGGGTGCAATAGAGAAAGAAAGCCAACGAACATGTTGAAATTCATGATCGGTATGATCTACAAAATAACTGAAAACAAAAAACAAAGTTTTTTTAACATTTGACGACCTCTTTTATATGGCCTTGTTCCTGTCTCTGTTTCTAGATCATTAGCTACTGGTTCTCTCGGAAACAAAAACACTATCTCCATCCCCCCAGCCAGAACAAAAAAGACTCCAGAACTCTTTCCTACGTCAGTCCATCAGACTCTACAGTCAGATTGCATAATCAGAATGGTACTTGTTATATCTGGGAAGTACAATTTATATTAAGTATGTATATATTTATGTATATGTGTATGTAACGCAACGTAATGTTATGTTAATCTCCAAGCAGATCCCTCTCGGTGGCAAAAAGACAGTATCAAATTGGCCAGGTAGTATCCATTAGCCAGAGAAGGTTGGTGGGGGTCAGCACAAAAAAGGCCATATATAAAATGTAACGATCATTCCCCCACAACCTCTGCTTGGAGAGTAATGTTATGTGTTGATTTTAATATAATGATTGTAAGTATCAATGTCATTCAGGCAACATTATATGTATGTCTGCAATGTTGATATAATAATAAAGAATTGAATTGAATTGAATAAGAAAGGTAAATGTGGTAATGACGTAGAGGTATTACTCATTAAACAACCTTGACTGAAGCTATAAATCAGATTTAATGAGAAAAAAAGCATGGTACGGGAAACAACATCAAGTACGTGAAAGATGAGACCGTGTACTCAATCATAATGTCACAAACTCCGATCATGAGAACTTTTCGAAGCTAAAACAAACTTAAGTAAAACTACATGTGGTGAGTATTTCATACATTATGAGTCCCATAGCAAACATCTTTAAGTGCATGGCGACTGTTCATTTGCTCCATTTTTTTATTCATCAAAACATGGAAAACATAACAAGGACAGTGTGACGCTGCACTCAAGTTTACAACTTATATTAACAGCGCCAACGCATATTTGCTCAATTTACATGCGGAATTGTAAACAGATCGACAAAGTATACACAAATTCCCAATAATTACAATTAACAGTGAAGTTGACTAAATGGGAATTATTGGTTTCGGCATTTCTCAGCAAATAAAACGAAACAGTCGCGCAAAGTTCAACGTTAGTACATTGCCGTTTTCATAATAATGCGATGTATTTGGTCTTTGGTATTGTCATGGTAGGAGGGTACGGAAAACACTGCAATTACCAACTGAATCGCTAGAGGTCATCATGAGTACCCAATGGATAACATTCCAGAATTGAAGATACCAAACGTTGCATGCACAGATGCATGCCATGATATTGCAATCATATAATTTTTATGCACTACTGTAGAAACTAACAAATACACAAAAAACATAACCTTCTTGGCGAAGGTAATTACCAAATTCGTTACATTTTGAAATAATCGCCATCTTAAAAAAACTTTCAGTACAATTGAAAAGCGGCACACAATACAAGGGTCATGTCAGCAAATCAATACAGTAAAAAAACAGCAAAACTACACATCTAAAAACGAATAAAATTGACAAGAATTCATTGTATTAAAATTCCAACCGTACAAAAACGACATCTATTTTAGTACGATCAAGCAGACTTCAGTCATCCTCAGACGGATCTGAAATAGAAGCAAATAAGACTATTAGTAAGTATTTGAAAGTCCAAAAATGGAAAAGCCCATATTTTATTTTCTAAAAAAGGGGGGAGGGTAGTTGTTCATTGGTATCAAAACGAACATGCATTTACCAACATTTGTATGGCATTCATTAGGCCATGTTGATTTGATTATATGAATGATATATCCTCGCGCGCATGAATTTTCGCACATTCCAAAAAAGTTTTTGACTATACCGTAAATCGTACTAAGCAGCTACAAAATGGGCATTGCAATATATATGCCATCAATTGCAAAAAAAAAAACATATTGCAGAACGATACTAATGACGTATACATATATAACGCTGAAAGAAGAGAATGTAAAGAAATTAAAATGAAGAGTCTATTATTCACCATGTGTGTTTAGTCATTTGTTTAACCCTCTTGACCAATGAAGGCAAAGTTTTTTTACCAATCTTTTTTTTCTATTCTGACACTCGCATCAGTTATGGGGTTCCCAGGGGATATCATCCATATAATCAAATCAACAAGGCAATACAATTACTCAAAATCAGATATCTTTAATATGCTCCTTTCATGTCCTACTCAGATATCAGTGTACGTTGGAAAATTCATATTTGAATCACTACAAAAGCGACACCATATTGTAAATAGCTGATATATCCCCTGAATTACAGAATGTAACAATACTCTTCCTAAGAAAACACAATAGATTAGCTTTAGTATCATTATGGACTAGCCCGTTAGAATTATATTTTAGTATTAGTTTGTGCATGTACATTTGTTGTTTCTTTGCCATACATTGTATCAGCTACAGTTGTTGAGCAATAAAGTTGATTTGATTTTGTTACATGATGTACATACCATCCAATCTCTCTGCCGTGAGCCTGTGGCCCATTCCAATAAGAGCCTTCTTCAGGACCTGGGGAGTTGCTGCTTCTGCTCTGTCGTTCTTCCACTTTGTCAACACCTCCCAACACCTGCTATCGCAGTCGTGTTTATTTCGCTGTATAACATCTATCTCGTTTCCCTCCAAACCCAGCTTGTGTGCCAAATCTTCCCAATAGGCGCTGACTCCACGGACGACTTTGGCGAAATACTTCGACACGTCAACTGAAACAAATAAAGGCACACATATTGGCATGAGCAATGATAAGCATGATCTACTAGAACTTACTTTTCAAACAATGGATAGGAATGGACATCGCCGATTAATGAATCCTTAGCATGTGTCATTAATATCTTAGCACAGGTTACAAAATGTCACTGCCAAAGAGGGAACATCGCATCTTTATTATGAATCACGTTATAGTCATTACTAAACAATGTTTTCAACGACTAGATAAATATTTCAGGTTTAATGATTCGGTACCTGGGAACTTGAGTCAGTAATGTGTGATATGCAGACAGTATTTTTTTTGTTCAACAACATGTGTTTGGATTTTTGTTTGTTTGCTTCTTTGTTTGTTTAACATGATCATAGATGGAAAGTAAATAGCACACCTGTTGGCGACTTTCCTTTCTTCCTCTTCTCTACAGATTTTCTTGTCTTCTTTGGTTTTGGAGGAGAGGCAGAATACTCATCCGATGAGCTATCCGATGAATCACCTAGAGAATTGTACTACTATTTAGTTTATTTTGGGTCGATTGTATGTATACCAATAAAGAACCAACTGGAGTTAAGTAGACACTATCTTTTATATTTACAGTACTCACCAAGGGACGTAAAACATGTCAAGCTGCATGGTATATAGGCATACATGCACAAGCACTAAATGACAAACCCAATTGTACCGTTGAAGAGATTCATTTGTCACGTATTGATACAGTTACTAGTGAATTCTTTCATCAGTGACAACTTAGAAAGATAAGGATACTAACCTCCAAATTTTGGATGGCTATCAGTCCATCTTGTTCACGGAGTGGCCTAATCTCACGAGAGCGCGAGACTAGGCCCGAGACTTGCATCGGTCTGTCGGGTCCCACCCCCCGCCGCCTCCCTCCGAAGTAAGGGTAAGTAAGTCTTGGGGAGCTCCCAACCTTCTGTCCGGTTGAGCTTAGCACCTTGGTTGGGAACTCCCCAAGACTTACTTACCCTTAAGCTTACTCCGGAGGGAGGCGGCGGGGGGTGGGGCCGGACAGACCGATGCAAGTCTCGGGCCTAGTCTCGCGCTCTCGTGAGATTAGGCCACTCCGTGAACAAGATGGACTGATAGCCATCCAAAATTTGGAGGTTAGTATCCTTATCCTTCCAAGTTGTCACTGATGAAAGAATGCACTAGTAACCAATTGTACCGCTATTCAATGACAAAGGTATATTCGATGAATCAGTTTGAATTGTTTCCTATCAAACTGGTAACCGGCTGAATAGCAATTGCCAGTGTTCTATCAACATAATCACATCATTCTGCAACACATGATCTTTGGTAGATTTTGCACGGATGATAAAGATAGTAGAACTGTTAGCAAATGTGTAAACGCTACCCACCTGCAGTCGTTTCAGATGACTTGGGCTTTTTCGGAAATGGTGCGCCTGCAGAGCAGATTACTATTAGTTTTTATCTTAAAAAAAGCTCGTTTGAAAGCATATATAAGGATGCATGTTATGCTGTCCAGTACCCACGAAAACTGGCCCTTTGGGTCTGATTACAGATTTCTGGAGATTAAAAAAGCACGTGTTCAAGGCCTCATACGACGCCCTGACGTATCAAAGAGGTTTCGTATTATTTAAGCAAAGAAGGTCATCATTTGAATGATCTTTATGTTACTTGTATTGTACCTTCCCATGTTATATGTAATTGTATATATCTTCTCCAACCAAATAAGACAAATTGTCCTGAGAGTCTTTAAAAAAAGAAAGCTACTGTAGCATTTTCTTAGGTTTTATGCAACTGAGGTCCTGATTTGGAAGTTTTATTATATTAATTCTCAAATAAATTCCTCCATTTTAACTCCAAATACAGTGTACTACCTTCCAGCTGGGATAGTATTCTTTAAAAAGCTCATACCAGGAAAGAAGTAAAGCTCCTTGCGTAAACTGGAGAAAAACTCGGCCACTGCCTTGCCCCCGTGAATGCTAGGGTTGGATGAGGACGATGCTGTTTGTTTACAAACTCTGTTGTTCACCTGCATATGTGGAAAACATATCTTGATCAAACACAAGTAACTCAAAACAAAGTGAAGTTGTATCGCCACCATACAGTAAGAATTCAACTAACAGAAACACATTTTATTTTCTATATATTGAATCTTTAGATGGCTGGTTAGCCCATTCAACCATGCCAAATAGTTTTTTTTTTTCAATAATGGTCAGTATTCGTAACATTATGTATAACAAAAGAGGTAAACTTCTGACCATTGTGCAGAAAAATTACCCAAAACCAAGTAAACATTAGAACAGGTACAGACAAATAAATGTATACAGTTGCAAAGTCAAAAATGATAATGAGATAAGGGAAATCATTATTAAGATCCTTGATACGTTGGTGAAGGTTAATAATCCAGGATGAAGATAAAGTAATAAAGCAGTTGAATCCTTTCAAACTGGATTGCCATTTTAATACGTAAAAATTGAATTTAATAGGTATTAAATTTCCATCCAGTTTGAAAAGATTCAACTGCTTTATTACTTCATTATTAAGATCGTATATGTTATGACCAACAAGTAATTATCAATGTACATAGCAAGAGACATTGTTCAGAGCAATTTGTATTCTGACCCTTGTCATCATTTCATACAGACTGCTGTCCTTAGCGTCTTCCATGAAGACTTCGGTGATGATCCGAATGAACCAACTGCCACTCTTTGTGCCCCTGAAGGCTTTATGCCCTGGAAAAAATAGGACGAAGCAAAGAATTAATTCTACAACCCGTGAATGATCTAATAAAGAAGAGAAGGTAATGGCTGGATTGACGTTTTAGATTTTACCGGTTGACCGGTTGTAGTTTTCAAGAATAAGGCATTTGCCATATGGAGAATCTGCCATTTGACGTAGAACCTTGCGAAAAGAATGCAATAAAATGTCTCTAAGTTTGCCTCAGCTTCGACAATCAGAACAGAAACATACACCCAAGTCTTGTCGTCGAGTTGTTTTTCAACAAAACGGGCATGGTAAACACCGACACGTCAGTTTTTAAAGGCATGCATACATAAAACCTCAATGTCAATCGATGATGCATGTAAAGCAGGCTGTACATACATTTATGAATTGTTAACTTCAAAAGATACAAAACTTTGTCACAAACATTGCAGCCAGAACGGCTGAATTGCGTTGGGACATAATTTCGGATTGACACATATTTAGAACCAAAACACGAAACAGTAAAAACGTTCCATACAATTTTCCAGTACATTAAATAATATGTAGAAGAGTGTTACCACAGGTTAGAAATCTTAGCAGCCCAACTATTTACTGTTAATTTTCGGGCAATACACATAGAACTAGTCAAGGGCAATAATAATGTCTTACTGTGGTTCAGTAGCTCTATTATGTGAGGCAAGGCACTGGAACATTGCATCAACATTGCAATGGACCAGCTTTTGAAAAGTGCATTTTTAACTTACCGAACTGTGTTGGATAGCAACAGAGCATGTCAGTCCTGGTAGGGATCACTCTTGGCCTTGTCTCGTCTGCTTCGTCCTCATCGGATGCAGCAGGCTGGTGCAGCAGCTTCTCCATCAGGGCTTGAAGATCGGCAGTCGCTGAGTCATCTTCATCTTCAGGTGCTGCTACACCTTTGTCCACCTTTCCTGTAATTAAAAAAAAATCTCTTATCTTTCACAAAAACGACATGTACAAGGATAGCAGTGTTTTTTTCTATGCTGTCACCAAGTCCTCAGCTTAGCAGCTGTACCGAAGTTTGGTGCGAATGCGCCATATTTGATATGAGAATTCACAAGCTTCAAAAGAGTGCTTTCCTAACAGCACATTTCCAGTATACATAAGATATTTAATATGGTATCAGATTCATATTTCATTAGTTTAAGCACCCATTGGTGATTGATAATTACGCTACGTTTGGGGTCCTATTTCACCATGGTAATGCACTTTTCATTTTTATGTAACATTTCAATTACGTGTAACATAAAGGTGTCATAAAAGTTAAAAACATATCGTTTATTTCTTCATATCTCTGTTGTTATTTTGTAAGGTGCGTGTACCATATACCATTGGAAATCTGAAATTGAAGACTACCAACAGAGATAAAATAAGATCAAATTCCAGTTTCTTTAATAGCCTTTTCGATAGGGTTATTTCAAACATAAAAATACCTCCACGGCAGGCTTGTATGAAGAACAGTTTTGGTTTCCCCTTGAGAAGAGGGCAGTTCTCATTGTCAAACATTTTAAAGATGTCCTCCAGGTTGACAGGTTTGTTGTCTGTTCCCGATATGACGCCCTTGTGCCCGTGTGACATCAGCACCACGACACAACAGTCCATTTGTTCATGGTCCTTGCGCTTAGAAAACTTCGAAATTTTCCTTTTCATTGTCTGGAAGAAAATACGGGATAATATAAATTGCTTATTTATCAACAGACTTTTGTATCCTGGTTTGTCAAAGAACTGTAAATTGCACCTAAGGCCACGTTGATTTGATCATATGGATGGTAATCCTCTGAAAACCCAAAACTGATGCGAGCGTGCAAATAAAAGACGGTTGGCAAAACAAGTTCCCGTCATTATGAAATTTGCGAGGTCATAAAAGGTTGAACAAATGATTAAACACACAGAGTATGGTATGGCGAATAATTGACTCTTCATTTTCATGTCTTCACATTTTCTTTTCCTTTGGAATTGATTTTGGCATTCTACATTAGTTATCGTTTCCCCAGTTTTTTTATGGCAATTTATATAATAGATATATTTACTTTATATGCAGCAACTTTCTACGATTGTATGGTCGGATTTTTTTGTTGGAAACGGAGCGAGGATATTATTCATATAAACATGATTGAAAATGAGCACCATTTTGTAATGGATTGTACACTATACAATGATAAGCGCCTATTGCTGTTCACCTTTCTTTCCGCTTGTTCAATTGATTTCAATACGTTAGATGCTATAGACAAATGCAACTACATTCTCAGGGGAGATAACCAATACAGTGTTCAAATAGGAAAATACATTAAAGAATGTTTCGATCTTAGAGAACACATGTTAGAGAATAGTTAAACCTTTATTGTTACATCATACATATACTCTGTACGTAAGATGACGTTATCCACACATATTGCATGTATTTAGATTTGTGAGATCTTTAGTTAAGTTGTAGAAGACTATACAAAAGTCTCTGTACTTTTTTGTTGTGTCAATAAAGAATCACATCAAATAAACATGGCCTAAAGAGGGGAAATGACCTTGACACTAACCCGTGCATTCATATTCGGCAAGATGTAGGTTTCGAATGACAGGCCCTCGAACAAGGCTATCATGTTGCTCAAATCGGCCTCTCCGCCTTTTCGATTGGGTGAGTTATCGAACTTCGTGTTACTCAGAATCAAGGCGTACCCCCGTGGACGACGGCGCATCCTGTACGGACCCTTCTGTAAAATAAAAACATATTTGTCCCAAAGAAAAAAAAAGGTTTACAAATTAAATCAATCTATAAATTATTAATACCTACATTCTGTTGCAACACAATGAACAATTTTCGGCCGAAATATAAGTTGAAAAAACTTGAGTGTGTCGTCACCACGTCTGGTGATTACATGTTGGAATAAAAAAAAATTCGGCCATCTCTTTTCCAGATGAAACATCCAATCAGTTACGATATGTGGCCCCTTTAACACTTGAGATGAGCCACTGTTGCATTCCAAAACGTGTTATTCCAAAACATGTTTTGGAATGGGCTGTTGTAAGGTTGGTATGCTACTCTCCCATCACTGATGTAAAATGAAATCCTCTTAATTCCTACCCCATCACTGTTCAGCGTCCTTGGTCAGTGCAGTAGGTTCTTGAGTAATGTTTATTCAACGATGATACCTACATGCTTTGAAACTTTAGGTGAATGTGGACCAAAGAATTTTTGATCTGATCTTATTTTGTTCATCCACTGTGAGATTGCTAGCCAGGTTTGTTTCCTTGTTTATTTGCTTATTTAACCAGAGAACATATCGCCCTGGAGGGTGGTTTTCAATGCACCCTGGGGATAATAAAATAATATTTATATTTTATATAAAATAAAATGATAACAATATAATACAACATAAAGTAATCGCTGAAGAAACGTATGTACAATCAAGGGGCAAATTAAACTAAGGTAACTTTAAGCACTTTTTAAAAGAAAAGTGCGCGCCTAAGAAACAGTTGAAGAAACTTATCAAACTACGACAACATACTACGCCTATGGCTAGAAAGCATTGTCAATGACTTGAGCATTTTAGGTATGACATTGCGGATATATATCTTTGAGAATATATTATCACCGATATGTTATTATCTGTCTGTATGTGTGTTTATGTTTTCGCATATTTGTGGTACGAATAACTTAAGAAGACCTTTTTTGCATTGTAGTGATATTTGCATAATTTATGCATGAGGCAACAGCCATATAAGACTAATTGCGCAATCGAATTAATTATTGACCCATGACCTCTTCTACCCCGCTACTGACTCTTACTTCCGGTTTCCGCGCAGTATATATACGGGATACGCATGCAAGTGCTGCATGTGCCATATATGGGTATATATGTATGGGAGCCGCAAGACAAGGGTATTAAAATAAACAGAGGATAACTTTTACAAGGTTACCTCCTTTCTAGTTCTTGTCCAAAAGTCGTAAGTGCAGGGCTTGACCTTCACTGAGATTTTTCCGTCGTCCTCGTCCTCTTCCAAACTTGAGTCTTCACTAACCTCCGACTCGCTGCTCTGACGGGGACGTGGATTTGACCGACCTGTGTTTTTTTTTTTAAACAATTGCAAACAAGTTGTAAAAATGTAGGTACGTAGCAGGTTATACGCCACTCCCACACTTTCAGTTTATTTCCTGAATATACATTGTATACCAAAATCATATCTGAACTAAGAGATACACGAAACACTTGTTTGGTCTTTCCTATCTGCTCGACGTATTCTATTCAGATAAGGCTTCAATCAAAAGATGAAATGCACACACAACAACATCACTGTGGCCACACTCGTTGCTTTTATAGAAGTCTTAGGACATATTACATTTTCTACAGAAGTATTATCTGAAAACTTACTTGATGCCCCCTCTACCCACGTTGCAGGTGAATCGAGACAAAGATCTAGATTTCAATTATTAGTGAGACGACCATTATTCATATGCAGCAATACTTTCCTCATTTATGAACTATATTCATTCATATTAATTTTGTTATGAACGCGGTTTGAAGTACGGCTGAAGTTCCGAAGAAACTAGTAGGTTGTACACGTTTTCTTAAGCTTTCAAATGTTGATATATTCTAATCATAGAAATATTCAAAACAACAATTTTCAAGTTCAGTAAGATAATTCTTTCAATCAGTGACTATTAAATCCTAAGGTACATACCTCCGAATTTAGTTCTTTCGCGAGACTAGGATTATTCCGTGACCAAGACGAACTGACTAGTCGTCGAAAATTCGGAGGTATGTACCTTAGGATTTAATAGTCACTGATTGAAAGAATTATCTTACTGAACTTATACT